TACAATACATGTGAAAATTGTGTATTTTTGCTTCTCTGAGAAACTCAGACAGGGAAGCCCTTTGCCACCTAAAGACTGCTCTTCTCCAAGTATCTGGATCACAGTTTCTCTCTTGAAACTCCAAGATGGGCAGTAATTTCAAGTCAGACTGTAAAGTAATGAGGGCAGGGAACAAGATGAAAAACCCATGGAACACTGTTTGAAGATCTTATAGAAATTCTCTAGGAATTATATCTGCAAATGAAATCTTAATACTTAGAGTTAAACTTACTAAGCAATGAGAAATATTTAACATCTAACCTAAGTAAAATAATAATGGAAAGAGTAATGACAAATAAAGAAAAAGAACAATGAAAGTACCAGCCATACTCACATCCTGAAGAGGTTCCTCCTGTTTTACCCAAGCCTGTCTCCCCATAGGGGAAGCTGCTGTAACACTCAACTTGCAGAGAATCTCTCTTCCTCCCTTTCACGGTGTCTCACAGCTCAGCTCCTGGATGTCTATCTGCCTCTCTCCAGCTCCCATCTAATGATGAGAAGGCCATTCTGTCTTCACAGCTCCCGCAAATCGTTCATCTCTGAAGTCCATGGGGCTCCCTTGGTTTCATGCCATGTAGGTTACAGGCTAAAGTAATGCCCCTCCCTAACACTCGGGAACCTGGGCCATTGTCTTATGCTTCCAGTTATTTGGAAGAGAAAGTCAAATCTCGACCTTCCTGCTTACTCCTTTCTTAATTTCTCTGAGCTTCAGTCTCCTCATCTATAAAATGGGCAAGACCTAGACATCCTAAATGACTGTTAGGTTTAGAAATACTTCATATAAAATACTTAGAGCAAGGCTGCAACATATTAGGCACTCCACAAAGCATAGTAATAACAACAAAAATTAAAATAACGATATCACTACATTGGAAGTAAACAATCCCGTGTTCTGAAACCAACTCCATACACAAAAAGTTGTTCAGCTATCCTAGAATATGTATTGAGCCAATAAAGTTCATAGAAATGAAAAAAAATTTTAAATATTATGTCTAATCCTCACAAATATCCCATGAGGTAGTATGATCAGCATTTCCAGATGAGGAAACTGAAGCATGGTAGGATTAAACAGCTCACCCAAAGCTAACCACTTATAATGCTTTAACCTTTTCTTGAAACCATTTCGCTCAGACCCTAGAGCCCACACTCTGTTTTGCCATTTCATTCCCATTAGATTGAGATAGTTGTCTTAGCTGAGATAGGACTAGAGAAGTAGACAAAAGGCTTCTGTTATTGAAAGCCATGCTGATTCAGTTTGAAGTGCCTTAAAGAGATCTCATGGTTCAGCATCTCATATGATGAATCCACAATCCTTCCGCGCCAGAACCCAACCTTATTAAAACCACGATGGGTTCAAAGTTGGTCTTTAGTTCCTCCTGCCTCCCTTCCTCACTCTCTCTTTTTTGCCCTCCCTTTCCCCTATCCCTGGATCCTCAATGGACCTAAGCAGACCTCTAAGTGCCAGAGAGTTCCCCTCTAAAAACACAGAAGTACCCACCAAACCATCCTTTCCTCTAAAATTATCTTTCTTCCCTCATTAAAGCTCTCATAAATTCAGTATCTGAGTACTCCCCGCCTGCTGTGAGAAAGGCTGGCAGCTTAATGACACTAGCTCACTCTTAAAAATGACAATGTGACAATGAACCTGGGTACACGTAAGGTAACAATCCCCAGAGGCTAATAATTGGTGAAGTGTCCAAATATAAAAGTTTCTTGTTTTATTTTGTTTTTTAAGTAAAAGAGGTTAATGTAAAAGAAAGATTTGATGAAGAATGTCATTTTTCTAGGCTTAACACTTCACCTTCAAATAAAAAGCCTTGACACTTCCTTCACATTCTGTTCACTACAGATCACTTGTTTTCACTACAATCCATCACTCACTCCTTCCAAGTACACCCACAGAGCAAGAATCAAGTTTAGTTAACCACTTGTGAAAGAAGATCAAGTCCTGCTCTCAACCACACCTTAATCAATACATTCCTCTATCATATATTTTCTCTTTAAAAGTTATTATTTTGAAGTGAATACATGCACATGATTAAAAACTTTAAACATACAAAAGGGTACTCAATAAAAATTATTTTCTCACCTGTAATCTTCTCTATCTTCTTACCTCTTGCTTCATTCTACAAATGCAACTGCCATCACATTTTCTTATGTACCCTTCCAGGTATTTATCATGAATATGCACATACACCTATATATTGTTTCCTAAATTGAGAAATATGAACAGTTTTAATTTGGCTTTTTCATTTAATAGTATGTTTTGCAGATTTGCATTTATAAATTATTTTATTTTCAATTATTGTATATATTATTCTGTTGGTCAGATATACTATGATTTATTTCAATCAATTTCCATATTGATGGGCATTTGGTTCGTTTTTAATATTTTCTTATTACAAACAACACAGTAATGAACATAAGTTGCATATGTTTGTGAATATTTGTGAGCATATCTATAAAGCACAGCTCAATCACAATTGCTGAATAGAACATTAAGCATTTTGATTTTGATATTCTCAACTTATCCTTCAAAAGCTTTTCCAATTCACACACACCACCAATAAGTACATAAGGGTGACTGCTTTTTCATACCTTCACCAACACAGTATTTACCATAGATCTTCCTTATCTCTGGGTGTGGCTGCTTTTGAACTATTGATCATGTGTCCAGTGTGTGGACTGACAGTAGGGTAGTGACCATAAATTAGGCATCAAGTGGTACCATGAAAACTATCCCAAATAAGTTAGGATATGAAGTGGACTTGATTAGTTTTTATTTTATAAATATTTTAACAATTAGACATTGAAATATATCCTTCCAAATAGTATCTTGGAAGGCCATTCTGTCATGCTAAGTATACTGCCAATATTTAAAATATCTTTGCAGCTTTTCTTTGAGTCTGGTCTTCAAGGTCAGCACCCCATTATATTTTTTTACCTCTTCAATAGTAACACTGTCATAATGATGGATTTGATTTTCCTCAATGCCAGAGGCATTCACAGCCAATCCTCTGGAAAATAAAATTGGTTATCAACCAATATAAATTATTTCTTACTGATTAAAATTAACTGATCTTTATTGGTTTTATTGATTAAAATAAATTGATATTGATTTTAAAAGTGTACCTTAAAATAATTACTGTGTGTGTGTGTGAAAATAGGACTGAAAAGTTTAAATGTATTTTATGTCCATATGTGTGAAAAGTTTCCCATTGTCAGTTCTGAAGGACAATTCACATTTGGATATAGACATTGTGGTATGTTTGCTTTAAAAGACTGATTATTTTATAGCTACAGCTCATAAAGCCTACAGTCATAAAACACCTCACTCTATCTTAGAGGCAGACCACACTTGTTGTGTAAATAATGATGTTAAATTCCAACTCAGCTAAGACCACTTCCGGCCCTGACATGGTTAGACTTCACAGCCCAGACATTTTGGACTCTCATGTGACAAGTATGGCTTTTAAGCTTATGCAGAAAAATTAAAGAGGACATTTTGTTTCAAAAGAGTATTATTAAAGGATAAGAAGTTACTAAAAAATTTAAATAGCTTAAAAGATAGAAATAAGTATAATATTGGCTTGGGGGCATATATGCTTGTTATAAAGGGCTTCCAAATCAGAGAGGGAGGGAGGCAACAACTCTATCTTGACTCCACGTCTGCTGCTTGCCAGGACGACCACACCCTGTCTCCAGCAGCCCTGCTTTTATCACAGTTCAGTTCCAACTGACTTAACTGTCCTCTTTGTCACTTTCTAGCCATACTGCCTAAATCTGCTGTTTGCTATTTTAGAAGCTCTTAATCTCCTTCAATTTAGTATTTGATACCTACCACCTCCACGTTTTGTCTACCCATTCCCATCTTACTCCCCTAAAATATGGGACTGTGGTTTATGAAAAATGACAAGACTTTAAGTCAGACAGAGATGGATTCAAATCTTGGCTTTTAGTTGTGACCCCAGAAAATGTAGCTAACCTGCTTAACCTTTTCCAAATTAAAATACATATGTGTGCAGGTGTGTATAGTAGGTTGTTCTAAATTATTTAATACAGATTTATAAAAAACTGAAAAAATGATTTTACAAGGCAAGTGTTTGTGAGTTTAGTGTATTTGTGCATACATATGATACATGAGTTTTATAAAATGGGAACATAATTTAATATTTATTGTTCTACAATTCACTTTGTTTCTCTTTAAAACACAAGCCAGCAATCCAGCGTCTGCTTACACATTTACAGTGTCCAAGAGCTACATGTTTTAAAAGTAGTCCTTTCTATTGTTGTTTTTATGCTGTCATTGTAGTTGAGATTGGAAGGTTCTGCTCCATTTTGTTTTTAAATCTTCCCCCCTTGCATATATTTGCCCTAGTTCTGTCCTCTATCACAACACAAATAAAGTGAATCTCTCCATCACCTCATAGCCCTAAATTTTAAAAGTCAGCCTTTTTATCTCTCCAACCCTTTTCTTCTCCAAGCTAAGCAGCTTTGGGGTTTGGGGTTTTTTTTAATCCATTTCTGGGTCCTCAGTCATCCTTACACTAGCACCTGCCAACTCTTTGACTTCTCTTCCCCCTCAAGGCCTCCCTCAGTCCCATCTCTCACCTGAAACCCTTACCTCCTTATACAGACTCATTTCTCTTCCAGTTTCTACTGGATTGTCCGCTGTTTTCCTCTCCCTCCTCAGCTAGACTGTAAAAGTTATGTCTTGTATTTCTTTTAGAACAAACCACTTACCCAGTCTTCACCTCTGCCACCACCAGCCTCATATGGAGTATCTCAAAGCCATCTTGAAATTAGTTTGGTTGCCTTTAGCAGCTATTTCCTCTTTTAAGGTAACCAATACACTCTATGTGTGTTGTTTTAATCTTTAAACATTCTGAAAACCTACTAAATAAATCAAAATGTGTTGTGAAGTGAAAAAAGAAATAATCAAACATAAAAGAGAACCGCAATCATTGTCTGAGCCCAGCTTTATTCCTTAAATGTGTATGTGGAGAACATAGTGGTCATGATTACTCTGGAGTCACGCTGCTGAGATTCAGACCCCAGCCACTTCAGCTGTGTGATCTCTCCACACCTCTGTTTCTTCATCTGTAAGATGGGGATAATAGTTACCATGAAGATGACATAGGTTACCAATAATACACGTAAAGCACCCAAGTCAGTGGTTGGTACCAGGCAAGCATTAGGTTTCCTGCTATGATGAGGAGAATGACAGTATTTGCTGCTATGATGTGGAGAATGACAGTATATGCGCTCAGGAAAATCTTTTTGTCTTTCTGGTTCTCAGTTTCCTAACCTATAAAATGAAAAGGAAAAGGAGTAAGTATTGACAATAGTGAGCATAACACCAGACAACCCTAGGGCCCTTGATGTTTTATGAAGCACTTCCTTATGCAGTAGTTCATTGGGAAACACTCATTAGGATCTCCCATGCTTGAACACTGACCAAAATGGTACAACAAATAAATAAATACTGAGTCTGGCCCCTGACCTCCAATTAGCAGAAAGCTTCGAAGTCCTCAAATAGCTTATACCTCCTGCATTGTCTGACTTGCTATCTTTAAGCAATTTAAGCCTGTAAAAGCTAGACACCCAATGGCACTAAGAGATTGGGAAGAAAGAGATAGGAAAAGAAAAAAATGAAGGCATTCATATTTATTGGGCATCTATAACATAAATCATAATAACGTTAATCTCATTAAGTCTTCACAACAACCTTGGTGAATGGTTTTACTGCCCATTTCTCTAGAGGTTCAATACCAGTGCCAAGGTCACACAGCTACTAACTTCAAACCAGGAAGAAAGCCTGACTGAGCCTGAAGCTCAAGCTCATATGCTGAAGTTCCATGCTGTTTCACTGAGGTTTGCATCTACTAGGACGGATGTTGACTATCATCTTAGCTGCTTTGCTAAATTTCAAGCCCACTGGAGAGCTCTGCTTGATAAAGGTACCAAGGTAAGAATTACATGAGGTAAGAATTTATTTTATTATGAGCAACTAGCCTGTAGATGGCGATATCTTTCAATCGTGACTGACCAGTCAGGCACGCACCCCGCAAGCCTTAAAGCAAAAATGTCACGGTACTTCAGAGGCACCTGAAACAGCTATACCTACCAAATCCACCTGGTAAGTGATCGCAACAGCTATTGAGTGAAGAAATTTCTCCTAGATTTATAGTATAACAGAGAACAAACACATCTGAAGAAGAATCACCTTTCCATATAATAAATATTGTCAATGAGTAAGCGCATGACAATTTTTTTGTCCTTGTTCTTCCTCATTTATTTCCCACCAACACACTTCTTTGCTCCCCTGATTTGATGGATGATAGCCCCGAGGGCACAAGAGGGTGACATCAGCATAATATGTATTACTGAGAAGTCTTGAGTCAATCAATTGCAACCTGCTTGCCTGCTCAAAGGAAGTAGCATAAAAATGAGGGAGCGATGAAGCCATGGTCTTAAAAATCACAAAGATTTCAAGGTGTTTGGCAAATTCCATTAATTAGAACACTTGGCCTTGAGTAAGCAAAATTACAGTTACACATTAAGATACATCTACATTATCTTCATTGTCATTTTAATAGCCAGTTACTAAACACGAGGCAGATGACAGTATACACTATTGCACTTGGGCCTCACAATAATACGATGAGGTAGGCACAGTTGCTATACCCATATTTAATGAGGTAACTGAGGCACAGAATGTTATGTAAAATGTCCCACTGTCATAGAGCAAAGCCATGGTAGTGTGAGGATTCACATCTCAGAAGCTTCCAATAGCCATGCTTTCTCAAAGTAAGTTTCTAATTGCCTCTGGAAAAGGTGTGTGCCCCTAACCAGGAACTGTTTACTTAATAGTTTCCATGAGATTTCCCAATCCATTTAGACAATCCTATACCAAGCAGTTGGTATGACAAAAACGAATACAATTTATATACACTAAGAAAGCCAACACCACCATGATCACATGAATTTCCTCAATAGGTTCATCTCACATACCTGTTGGATTACAAACCACACGAGTTAGAATTACATGGAGAATTTTTGGTACTAATGGAGCTAACCTGTGGTTAATATACTCAAAGGTTTACATTTTATTCTATTACTTTTATTCTAAGTCTTTCACAATGAGCTGCATAGCCATTAGAAAGGAAAGGTAAGGGGAAACTGTCAGCCTATGGAATCTATGATTTGTTTCAAAGCCTGTGATGTGTTTCAGAGTCTAGAGATTACCAACTTTCCCCTCCTTTCTACTCCACAAAGGTCCTTCTCCTTCCAGGAGTTTCCTCTTCCCAAAGCCAAGGACTGACAGGAATGAGGACAGAACAACAGGTGCCTTGTTGTCTCAAGTGGCTTATTGACATCGCTAAGATTTTTCAGACTGGGTAACACCCAGTGAGCTCATTATGCCCCTTAGAGCAATTATTTCCTTTGGGTACTTTCTCCCTGTTGAGAGAGAGTGAGAATGAGAATGGGGCGTGGTGGGGAACATGCTACAGAATGGGTGTCTCCCTCTCCATTTTCAAGCTTTTTGCAGCTCAATCTATGTCACATAAGGGATGACCCCATTACAGGAGCTAATTGGTGGTGGCCACAAGGTACAACTAAAGGCAAAGATGGGAGAATGGCTCATGACAGAGGAACTAGGAGACTCCCCCGCCCCAGGCAAAGCAACCCTGTGTCAAAGAAGCCTGCCAAGCAGGCATGATGAATGGAAGGTGGCGCAGCCCTGGGGGTCGGAAGGTGTGGCTCCAAGTGCTATTCAGGCTGTAGTCTTGGGCAAGCTCCTTTTCCCACGGAGACTCCAGGAGACTCCAGCTGTCTCACTGTACAAGGCACAAAGCCTCACCAGAAGGCCCAGAGGAGCTGATGAGGTCCCGCACAGACAGATACAAGCTCAGTCACTCTGGGGCCAAAGGCTGGTTGCGAGTTTATTTTTCTGAGGTCTGGTCTTGCCTCTCACTCTAAGTGGGTGCTTGTCCTTGATCCCTGAATCTCTTTCCAACCCAAAAGAGGGAGAGATCTGATATTACCTTGGGTTTGACCCCAGTCAGTCTTATTAATAAACGCCCCTTCCTGTTTCTCTGCAGTGAGGAAAGAAAGAGGGAAGCAAGGTCCAGGGAGAGTGGCAGGGGCCACACCAAGCGAGGACCTCAGCAGGGACAGAAAGAGCTCGCTCAAGTTGAGTCAGTCTCTGTTTTTTCCTGTTACGTGATTCATATGCCGAGGCACACTGGTCTGAGATGTGCAAACTCTTCTCTGCTTTCATGAGCTTCCAAGTGAGTTGGTGATTTTTGTTTTTGTTCTTCCTGTTTCTCTTCTCTTCCCTTGGAAACATGATTGCAGTGTTTTCCATATCAGGTGGAGGCTCCCCCACCCCCATCCATTCCTATCATTGAAATGCCCTGGGCAGGAGGGGTTATCACATCAAAGAAACACTGTGCTTATACTCTTGACTCTGAATCTCTTTAAGCAGCAATTTTAAATGTTATTCATGTTTCTTAAACTTCCCTGTAATTTTTGAGTCAAGTAGGTTAAATTATAAATAAACAAAATTCCATAGCACATTACATACAATGAAAGCTGAGCTCTTTAGAAATCAAGCTCTAGATGTGTGAATTTCCTGTGCCTTAAAAAGTTTATTGTTCAAACATCCAAGACTTTTTTCAATTATTTTGAATGGGAATTCCTTCTGGAATATATAACATTTTTCTTCATAATAACACTTAACCTTTATTCATTATTTATTCATTATACTTACCTCATTTTAACACTCCCAGCTACCATTTCATCCTCCTCTCATATTTAAGTGAGGTCGATTTTACTTGAAGCCCTTCCTACATGTTCGTCTTCCTTTTCATGAATACCCGTAGCCATAGCATCCTTCTTAGCCAAGTTATTCAAGAAGACATGGTTTTACTATTTTCCTCTTTGGCTAAATCTGGAAGTGATGACATTCCCAGCTGAAGACCTCCAGTACCTTCTCACTGTAGAATATTAACCAAACTCCTTCCTATGATCTACAGAGCCCTATATGGCCCACCCCTGCCCTTCTCTCCAATCAGGTGCACACACTGGCTCTCCCTCTGCTCCCCCAAAGGGCAAGTGTCTCAGGTCCTTTGCACTTGTTTTGCAACTCCCTAGAACATTCTTTGCTCATTTTCATCCGACTGCTCCTTCTCCTTACTCTGAGCTCAAACATCACTTCCTCAGAGAAGCCACCACTGTCTCCACACCACACAGGCTATCACCCTTTCCTTCTTTATATTCATCCCAGCCGTCAAAGCATTATTGGGATGCTTTAATTTCTTTCCTTATTATTAGTTTTGGTCGATATTCATTCTCTGTTATGCTCCACCAGAGTAGGCCTTTACCTCTCTTGTTCATTGTTGTCTCATAGTTTCTGGGACAGCTCCCATTACTTAGGAGGCACTCAATAAATACTGTTGATGGAATACTTCTTAGCTCAGCGCCCTACCTCCTGAAAGCTCATGACGATCCATCATGGGGAGTTCCAGCTGCCCTGAGTCTCAGTACACACTGGGCAATCTAGTCTGAGTCATCAATTACAATGAAACCCTCACATGGCCATCAAAACAGCAAGAAGCTGGTAATGTCCAATGTCATTTGAGCCAATTTTGGAAAGAGATAACAGAGCTAAAAGAATGTTGATGACACACTCTAATTTCTTCGGTATTTCTTTTTAAACTTGTCCAAAAAAGCTCTAGCTAACAGTTTTAGAGGGGGACCTAAACAGGAGTATAAAGTAGCCCCCAAGGACAATGTAACTCTGAAGTCTCATGATTTACTTTTTAAATCCAGATGAATTTTGCATTCTAATCCCTTATATATCTGGGTTTGATTTAATATAAAAAAATTTTATCCACCAAGAATCCCAAAGCACACAGGATCCATGGTGATAATCATCTAGAAATTATTCTGGAGGAGCCGTGAGGGAGCACAGTGCCAACCCACTTGCCCCAGTCTTCACCCCAGGGAGAAAAAGTTCTGACATAAAGACACCAAGTGAACCAGGAGTCCCAGGGCGTGTCAAGTTTTAAGAAAGAAAAGAAAGGCTAACAAGTTCTCTCTCTCTGCATCACTCTTTTTTCAGATCTCTCTTTTAAATAGTTTCACTGTTCTCTTTCCTTGTGCTTGGTGAGGTAAGGCGTGCAAGTTCTCCTCATTCCCAAGAGGAGAGACCCGAGAGTGACAATATAACTCGATTTTCTCCGTTGACCTGCAACATTAACAGTTCTCCCTTGTCATAAACATACGATATATATGGTCACT